TTTATTGTTTTGTTAAAAGAGACCTCGCACTTCCTGTCTGCTTCAGCTGCACTGCGTCCAGAGTCCGGAGTTAAGGTAGATTGGGGGGGGGGCTTATTTTCAGGGAGGTCTTATTTTCAGGGGGATGCGTTATATTTCAGCGAGAGGCAAAAACTGTAAGTAGGTCTTATTTTCCGGGATGTCTTACTTTAGCGGAAACAGGGTAGCTTTTTTTTTTGCAAGATGGTAGATAGATTGGGAGGGAGCATAGTCATTCCTATACATCCATTCCTCCCCCCCCCAACCCACAGGAGAAGTATCAACAAGAAAGTGGCTGCAGAATTCATCTGTTTGTTACTACAGCATACTAAAGAACGTACTGTCATCCCATCCATTTTGATGCCGGGTGACCCTGTGTGTGCAGAGTAGGAGTGCTCCCCAGAGGGTGTTCAGGCCTCTGCTCCTTGCCAAGCTGACCTCTAGTCTTTTCTTTCAAGTGCTTCCGGGTGGATTTGAACCATCAACCTTTCCGTTAGTAGTCATGTGCTTGAGTCCCACTTGGAGACTCAACTATGTCCTGTTAGTATGGTCAAAATGATCAAAGAGCTTGTGATTCTAGCCACTTACTTTATGATGCTACATTGGTCCAAACCGGGCTCCCTCACCGTTTGCTGCTTTTAAGAAATCACTTCTGTGGAAGATATTATATGCAATATATATATATTCCATAAATATATATATGGAAGGTATGTTTGCGGTTGTAAATTCTCAAATGGATCTCAGGTAAAAGTCTGAAAGCCAGACAATAGATCTCTTTTAGTAGCAGTGCAAGGGAGAACACGTTGGTTCAAGTTGTTCTTCAAACAACCACGCGTTTCTTGGCTGCGGCAGGCTGTTTCTGCCTGCTTCCTGTCCATCCCTGATGTTCAATGTCATCTCCTGGGCTGAGCTCGCGCTCCAGCGGAATCTGTGTGAATTGGATGGCTCGCCTTGTGAGAGCTGGCGTTCTGGTTGTGCCACTAACACGAAATCCTCACTGTCAAAACACAAAGTGCCACTGCCCAGGGCCACGTACTGCCAGAAGCGTTACATTTCCAAACTTAGAGGAGTACTAGTCCCTCACTGTTTTCCCCTGGAGCCACCGGCCAAGCAGAGTCTGCTCTGCGCAGACAACAGAACGGCCTGCTTGCCTGGACCTCTGTGCTTGTCTGCACAAAACCCCACTGCCAACATTCCTGACAGGCGGCTGCTGGCTCAGGATCTTGTAAATGTATCCACCTTCTTAAGAAAAATGACTTGGCAGTAGATTAAGAGAAGCGTACAGTTTAGTCACCCAGAAAGAAATAAAAGTTAAGCGAAATTAAAATGGTTTGGGATTAAAAGCGGTGCCTTTGAACTCAAGCAACCCTGCCCGAGTGGCCCTGTTTCTATCAATTAGGTTCCTTAAGCAAAGACAGCCCCCGCCCCCTCCAGGTTTCAAAGAATGTTCTGCTCTACGAAACGTTTGGTCGTTCATGTGAGACGTTCCTTCTGGGTGGAGTGCGATCCAGTTGTGATTGCTGTTTGAATACATTGAGCAGGACGCAGAGGGGTGACGAGATATCTCATCCTTTTTAAAGCCGAACCTCCTGAAGACCTGGTGTCACAAACAAGCTCAGTCTCAAGCATGTTCGGAGCTATCTCCCTGGTGCCGCTGTCGGTTAGGCAGTGGACTGCTAACTGCAAGGGTCGAGCTTTGATCCATCAGGTGTCCCCAGGAAGAGGTTGGGGCTGTCTGCGTCAGCCAAGGCTTGCTGTCTCAGAAACCCTGTTCGGGTGGCTAGGAGCTGAAATGGACCTGACAACAGTAGGTTTGGGTATTGGGATCAAGCTGACAGCGACAGCCGGAAAGATTCAATCCAGAAGAGGAGGATGAATGAGGGCAATGAATGTACAGATGTGCTTCACACAATTGATGTATGTAAGAGTTGTATGAGCGCCTAATAAAACGATTTCAAAAAGAAAAAAGAAAACATCGAGTGAAGCAGCTCACAGAACGTCATCAATGTCACAGAAGAAATGGCTGACTTGATGGGTTTTGCTGTGTGTGGAGATTAAATCCAATTTAAAGAAAAGGGAAAAAGGTAGACACATCTCCTGTGCTGGTTGACGGTACTAAGAGCACAACTAGACCGATGGCTTGCTGCTTCCAAAACCACTATTTCCCGGATGGAAGCTTCTCTGACCCATCATGCCCCGTGGGCACAGTGTGTAATGATTACAACTTCCGAAAAGCGCCAACCAGTGTTCTGGCCAAAGGGGCAGAAAACCACGAACCCGAAGACTGGATGAACCAGTGTGAGGACAATACCTTTTCTGTTCTAAACGCTAGGAGTGGAGTCACCTGTTGAACACTCCCCTCCGCTGTGGCTTTGCGTTTGTCCTAGGAAACAAGTTTCAATTTCCAATGAGCGCATTCGCTGCGGCTGCTTTCCCTGGTTTGGTCCTGCAGGTACCAAGCCATGCATAGGTGGTCACGTGCAGAGGCCCGCTTCCCATGGCTCCTGTGCCCTTGGAGGGCTCCTCTTCTGCTCAAGGCCACAGAGATGGGCTGCTGTGAGAGTCTATGGGTTGTGGGCCCAAGGTACGCTAAGCCCAGCCAGTGTCTCCGTTACATGACATTCAAGCCCTGGACCTGCCGGTCTCTACCGTGCGAGACTCCAGTGCTGCACAGCTGTCAGGGAGCCCCACTCAACTCCACGGTGGCCGAATGTTCTGGGCTCTGCTTCCCTCCGTCATCCTTGTCCCTTACAGCATGGCTGCTTTGTACAACCAAAAGCAGTTGCAAAGGGGAAACACTGGGCCCATTCTCTTCTCTCTTTGTAAGAGTCTTCCGACATTTTCCACGAGCTCTCCATGGAGACCGCATGCATGTGGGTTCTGAAAATGCTACCCGTCAGAAGTGCAATTGCGTTGGCATTTTGTGACACGGGACTCTTCAACTGATGTAAAACCCAAGCTGTCTCGGCGCAGAGAATAAAAGTTCGGTCACAGGAAAGCTGGGGGGAGACTGGGTTCAAGAATGAAATCCTAGACAAGAAGCTGTCTCTTTCTTGTCAGATCAGCTTCTCAATGTGGGGAGTACATGGAGCAGCCTAGCCCGTCCGCAGCTGCAGCTGGGAAGGAACTTTCCTATTCCCCATTTTCAGCTGGTTAGCCCGGTTCCACCCATAGCTTTTATTTTATTGTTTAGTATTTGTAACAGTTTTATGGGCATATCATTCACAGATTATTCATAATCCAAAAAATATGGAGTGCTTCAGGAATGTGCGTGTCACCCTTGTGTAGGGGCCAGGCTAATCTCTGTATCATTCCAACTGTAGGCTATATGCCATCGACCCGAGCCCCACAGATTTAAGACGATCTCAAAACATGCATTCATTGCTTTTTTCTTCCTTTTCTTTTCTCTTCAATCCTGCATGTTCCTCCTTGTTCTGCTGGGAGATCTCATTAAGCAAAGGAACATAGCATGTTTTTTACACAGAGTTTCTCTACATGTAATCCAAATAATTGTAAGTCATGTGTCAAATGCAAGAAGGGGCTGGGCTGGAAAGTAAGGGCAGTTGGCTATTGCTTCCAGACGGCTCAGAGAGCCTGGTGTGTCCCTGGACAGGGGCTGATTTCCTTGAGCTTGGTTCTCTATGGCAATGTTGGTTGGGAGTTTCCATACAATCTCCTTGAGCTGAATGTACCCAGAGGGGGTCCTTTTACTTCAGCGCCTTGAGCTTGTGGTCAGACTCCTTCCCTAGGATCTGAGGGGCCTGACGAGACCCCGAGCGCTCCCTAACAACTGTTATTTTCCTGAGTCTTGTGTTTCATCAAATGGAGGCCACAGAATTCTAAATTTGTGAGGCAGGTGGTCCGTGTTCTTTCTGCCAACGAAATGATCTTGAAGCACATAGTTAAGAAGAGAAAGGAAAGAGCAGAGGAAAGGCAAGGGCAGAGAAAGAAACAGAAAGAGAAGGAAGAGAGAAGAAAAGGAAGGAGGAAGTGGGGGAAGACAAGAAGGGAGGACGGAGAGAGAACAGAACAGAGAGGCATGAAGCAGAGTCAGGAGCCATGCCAAATTTCAGGCTTTTGAAATTTGAAACGCTTGAGTGCCACACCTTTAAAACTGGTACTGTAAAAAAAAACCTATTTGATTAGGTCATGGTATTGTTAACTTGGCAAAGAAAAGACACTCTTCGCCAAACATACTCTCGAGGGTGGGGTACGGGCCTATGCGGTACAGTCACCAGATTCCAAGCAGCTTCATTTTAAATCTGTTTTTCAGTTAATTTTGTATGTAAATGTGGTTATTACCTAATGTCAGCTGTCAATCGCTTGTCTTTATGTGTATCTCTCTACATATAAAAACATCAAGTAAACACTCCCAGATACACAACAATGTCTAACATAATAATACAGTGATGAAAAGAATAATGTGTTTGCTTTGAAAATTAGCACTCAGTTGTTATTATGAACCATTGTGTATGTACATTGAATTTTTAATGTAATTGGCTCAAAGGGGCTGGTTGGTTCCTAACCACAGCTGTCGTCAGTCAGTCCGGCATCTGTAGCCTGGGGACTGCCTGCAGCACAGGAAAACCGTGAGGAGTAGGGATCTAATCCAAAGTTTCTGGCTTGGCAAGTAGGGGATGTGTTTGACTGCCAAAGACTTTTCCAAGTCTGTGGTATCAGAACTGGCTGTCAGAAGGTGCTGTCTGGATTTTGGCCTTTTGTTTGAACATCGTGCTTCATTGAAAAGCTACAGATCACTACAAGATCGGATGTTTACATAGTGAAATCACTTAGGCTCGTGAGAGGTCTTTTATAGCCACTGACATTGTGCTAAAAGAGAAAACAGTGCTACTGTCCACATGCTTGTTCCACCCAGACCTGAAGTCAGAGTTTTACTGTGTGACGCAAGGGTGATTTTTAAAAGTCAGAATTGGATTAGCTCCCGAAGTAAGGCGATAGAGGTGACTTGGGTGAAAAACAAAAGCAGAATAATTCTATTGGCTGATCCTTCTAGAAATGGAAGGATCGGGGGAACCGATTACAAAGATCTACATGTGACCTCCTCCCTGGGGGACAGACAACAGAAAAGTGGGTGAAGGGAGCCGTCGGACAGGGCAAGATATGACAAAATAATTTATAAACTATCAAGGGTTCATGAGGGAGTGGGGAGCGGGGAGGGAGGGGGAAAATGAGGACCCGATGCCAGGGGCTTAAGTGGAGAGCAAATGTTTTGAGAATGATGAGGGCAATGAATGTACAAATGTGCTTTACACAATTGATGTGTGTATGGATTATGATAAGAGTTGTATGAGCCACTAATAAAACAATTAAAAATTTAAAAAAAAGAAATGGAAGGAGCCGTTTTCGTAACAGATGAGGGATGCTTTCTTCAACACCTAAGACCCCACCTGTGCAGTCACAGGCCTGCAAGATGGGCAGGGGCTACTAGCAAGCATACTCCCAGGCCAGCCGTTCCCCTCAGCATTACGTGCGCCCGGGGCATCTGAGTAGTCATTCCGTATACCCTGGGGATCGCAGTAGGATGGCTTAACGAGTAAAGGTGCAGTAGGATGGCTTAACGAGTAAAGGCACACTAGGAGAGAAGGATGTGGCTAGTGGCCCTGGAGAGAAGAAAGACCAGGCACGAGGCCTGCCTGTATACCAGGGTTCACTGGAGCCTACTCACGATAGCTAAACAAGCGGAAACAGCCCAACTGTCCATCAAAGATGAATGGATAAACAAAAGACGGTGCATACATACATTGGAAACCCACTCAGCTACAAAGAGAAAGGAAGACTGGATATAGGCTCCAACATGGATGAACCGTGGAGACATTCGGCTCAGTGAAAGACCAGTCACATTGCGAGATCGCACTTAGATGAAACAGGAAATATAGAGAGACATCAAAGCCTCATTGTGGTGACCGGGGTTGGAAGAGAAGCGGACATGGGAGAATCATCGGTCCAGGAACACCGCAACCCGTTAATGGCCATGGACTTGGAAAAGAGAGGTGACGGCTGTCCAACAGGATGAAGGGAATCAGTGTCACTGAACTGTACCCGTAAACAAAGAAATTTTGTTGAGTTGGCAAAGGCTTTATTTATTTTTACCACAAAAAAGAGAGGGAGGCCAGGGTTTTTGTAGAAATCATCACAATGTCCATCTGTTCCTAGTCCCATCCCTCCAACATACATGCAAGTTTCCTGTTCCCCTCCACTGACACAGACAGGAACACACCCATCTCATGCTAGGCAAATATTGTGGGTGTCTGGCAAGAGAGGGTCAGGGAAGAAAAGAGGCCCCCAAATGGTTTGCCCCTCATCTGATGCAGGAAACCATTCGAAAACCAACTGCACGCCATGGAGTTCATTCTGACTCCTAGCAGCCTGAGGTTGGGTGTCGGCGATTGTAACTCCCTGTGGGAGCACACCCCCGGCTTTCTCCCCAAAAGTCTGCTAGGAGAGCCACTCTCTGCTTCCCCAGCTGCTAGGAGCAAACAGGCCCTGTAGGGATAGTGACCCCACATGGACAATCTCTAGAGATCCCAGGTGGACAAGATCGCGTTCACAAAGACATAATTAAATATTTCACAGAAACATCGCATTCTGCAGTCCTCGTTCCAGAAAAGTGCTATATTGATCACTTCAGTAAGTACACAAGAGTTATAAGTTCCCAAGGCTTCCACCTCCCCTTAAGACTCCTGGAGGTGAAGACCAAAAATTGTTTTGTAATTATACCAAAATACATGACAAACATCTTTCTGATCTCATAAAAAGTGGCTGAGTCGAGACAGGGACAGAGGCCAGAACCTGCACTGCGCCCTTATCCACAGGCTCTCTTGTTTACGGCTGACTTTCTTTTCTGACAGGGGATCGTGATGGAAGACCAGCAACTGGAGAAGTACAGCCATCCGCAGCCAGGCAAGGCCCCCGAGAGGAGATGTCGATCGCAAAGGGCACACCCGCCCCCCCCCTTACTTTGTTTCTAGTATTGCTCTAGTACATTCCAAGCCAGAAAGTAGCACTACAAAACAGGGCTTGATACAGATTCTGAGTCCAATAAAAACCTGTATGGATGACTTCTGCTCTGGCCAAGGAGGAGAAACAAGAACTGGATTCCCTCTCCTTCTGGTCCCACCCCCCAAACGACAAACCAAGGAAACAGCTGTTTTCACGTCCTCTGACATCAGACGAGATACGGGAAGCAGCAAAGGCTACAACGGAGCCATGCTCACTGACAGGGGAGAAAGTCCAGGCCACGGCGCAGGGATCAGTACCCAAGGGGAGCCAGTGGGTTCCAGGGTTCCGTGGGACACCTTGATGAGTAGGTACAGAGTTTTCAAGGCCAGCACGTGCCCCAGAGAGAACACAGAGATAGGCACAGGCCCCCTCATGGTGCATTCGTCTAAGTACCTGGGCACGAGAAACCGACCCCAGGCTGGGCCAGGAACCACCTGAACAGCTAAGAGGGGACTATCCCTGGAACTCACATATGGCTGGGAATATTTTCACATCAGCGAGAGTGGAAAAGAACATTCATGGTAGGGAACTAAAAAAAAAAGTTTAAATAAAGGGGCAAAATTAGTCTTTTATAAAGGACTGCTCTGGGCTGGTGGTAAAAAGCTTAAAACCAAGCCTCAAAAAGATGATTGTGCTTTTCAGTAAGTTAACTGTTTCCTAATAGAAAGGTGTACACTATTCCTCATACAACAAAGGAAAATTTACAGTACCTGACATTCACTGAATGCTGGTCATGAAAAGAAGTAAGGAAGTACAATTCATCATGCAAAAACCACCAGAAAGTCCCTACCTGCAATCTTCAAACCCAAACCCACTGCTTTCAAGTGGAGTTCAAGTCACAGTGATGCTGCAGAATCCCAGGGGAGGGTGGGGAGCGAACACACCACCAAATGAATTGACGGAGACTTTAAAACAGCTGTTACCACTATCTCCCATGTGCTGGAGAAGCTAGAGGGAAGATGGAGCACATTGGAAACACAGAAGAAACAGAAAAATCTCTAAGCAGATTTCTAGATTTGAAACTATTATACCTGAGATGCAAACTGCAATGAATGGAATAAACACCAGACTGGACGTTGCAGAGGAAAAGTTTGGTGATCTTGAACATATACAGCAATAGAAACTATTCACATGAAACAGAGAGAGAGAAAGACTGAAAAATAAAATAAACGTGACACCATGGAACCCTGGGGCAGATCTGATCATATAATTTGAGTGCCCAAAGAAAAGGAGAAAGGTGTGTCAGGGGTAGGGAAACAGACGTGATAGCTGAACACATCATAACCAGAAGGGTTCCAATGATGATGAAAGTTATAAACCCCCTG